GGGAGGGGAGGGACGAGCATGGCGAGACAGAGACACACACACTGTGTGTGTGTGCGAGAGAGAGAGAGAGAGGGGAGCTGATGGGAGGCTGCAGGTCCACCCTGGTTCCAAGCCCCCACCAGCTAGATGCAATGGGCTGCTCTTTCTGCAAGCAATGGACAAAGCAGGCAGCTGCCAAACAACGTTATAAGGGAGCATTGCGCAACTTTAAACGAGCATGTTCTCTAATTGATCAGCAACATAAAAATGAAACAGCGTTAAACAGGATGACTTTAAGTGAGGAGTTAATGTACTAGATAGTTAATGGAGCACAATTTAAAGGCAGCCTCTGAGGAAGTCCTGCGTTCTACCAGAGAAATTACCATGAAGCTAGGAAAAGACGAGCTACAGACTTTTTATTTGTATAATAAACAGTAGCATCCAGAAGCTCTAACCAGAAGTGGGCCCCATTATGGTTGGCAATCAGGAATAACCCCATTGTGCTAGGCATAACACAGACACATAGGAACACACACATTTCCTGCCCCAATCAACTTACAGTATATGGGGAAAGGCAGTAGCTCCCATGAGAAGCACGTTAGCTTGGCCCACATTCTTGACAGCTGTGAAAATCTCTACTAACAAAGTTCAATAGATTTTTTTTTAAATTAAGCTTTAAAAGTTTTAATTAAATCTCCAATGTTTCCAATTTGTTAGAGAATGGAAAGATTGCTGAAATACGAAAGAAGCTAGAAGAATTACAAAAAGATAAGATGCACAGGGATGTAAAGAAACATTATAGTGCTATTTCAGTCAGCTGCACTACATCTGTAATCAAGGAGTCAAGTTTTAGAACTGCAGTCAAGAAGACATACAGTACAGTTTGCTCTGCTATCTAGTGATTTTGAATCTAGAGAGTTCAGCAGTGATGAATGCATCCAAATTATTGGCCATATATCTTTCTGATATTTCCTATGAAGATGACACCAAAACGTCAAAGGACAGCACTATCACTAATACCTGTTCAATAATATAAAAACTTTGAAATTAAAAAAGAAATTAACCATGCTTGATGTCTGTGGACTTGGAAAACACCAAAACTGCCATATCAATTAAAATATATAAATACTAGGAGGCCCTGTCCCACAGTAACTTTACTCAGGCAAAGCCTCTATTGATCTCAAGGGTTATTTTGCCTAAGTATGGACTGAAAGACCTGGCCAATACTTTCCTTTTCCTTTTCATACTATTAAATGTTGAAAAACGTCATGTTCAGTCTCAATATTTTTTTTTGGCTATTATTCAGTGAATAACAAAGTGGTAGGATAGCCCAAGAATCGTTTTGGTACTAAAAGGAGTCTTCTAATACATGTTAACATAAAAACATTATCTTCGTGTAACAATTTTGTATATCTAAATGTTCAAGTTGGATACTTTGTGGATTTCTGTAATAATTTAGCTTTGATACACTAACAAACTGTTCTGAATACCTGGGAGCTTATAGAGACAAGGTGGGTGAGGGAATAATCTTTTATTGGACCAACTTCTGTTGGTGAGAGAGACAAGCTTTCTGTGTGGTTCGAAAGCTTGTCTCTCTCATCAGCAGAAGTTGGTCTCATAAAAAATATTACCTCACCTGCTTTGTCTCTCTTATAGTCTGGGACTGACATGGCTACACTGCATTGGACCTCATACCAATTCCAGGTGAATTATGTTAAGGGGGGTTAAAGTTTGTGTTTGTGGTCTCAGGTTATAAGAAACTGATTTTTTAGGACACAATAGATTTTTTTCATTTTTTTCCCCTTAATGGAAGTGAAGCCAAACTGCTCTTAAGAAAGATGACAGCACCTTATGCTGTCAAGAGACAGAGAGAGGAGCACTGTGAAGTGCAGATGAATGGAGATGGTGACCATGTTTGCTATGAAAGGTTGTGGTCTCTGTCCCTTTTGTAAACAATGGGAGATGGTGTCTATTTTGAGAAGTCCATCTTAACAGAAGGCGTATTCTTTTGAAGAAGACAATCCAAATACAGTAATGCGTTTTGGCTTGGTTAAGATGAACATCAATCTTTATTGTTTCTAAAGGGAAACCATACATTTACTTTAGACAATATTTTATCTCTGATTAATAAATATTGATGTTCATCTCAGAAGAGGTAATTGCTGCTTATTGATGCCACCATCATAACATTTATATAAAAACTTAAAATCTAAAATACTTTTTGGTGTGTATATTTGATGTATAAACCTCTCCAACAATACGAGTAAACTATAACATTTGTATTAATATAGTTTAATTTCACACTTTAAACATATATGATTTGTACATAATTTATGTATTTATTTTGTTTACATATTTATAAAATATAGTCTCAAATAGGATACAATTAAAATCTGGGTTTGCCTTATTTGACTGAATTCTATCTTCCACAAAACTTTTATTTACTTCAAATGCCCTTTAATCATTGAATTGTTACAGTTTACAAAATCCAAGAAGTGTATTCTTTATTCCACTGTTCAAAGCTAATATGATATCAAGTGTGTAGTCTTGTAGTTCATTACATTTAGTGATCTGAAATTTAAGTGAAACAAAGCTTCCATTAGATGTGCCAATCACAAGTATATTAGATCTAAAGACAACTTTTGCTAAAACAAAACAAACTGTGGCTCCAGTCCTGCAGCAGGATTCACAAGCACGGATCCCTGCACCTATGGAAAGTCCCACTGATTTCAATAAGGCTCTGAATGAATGCAGGAATCCATGCTAGCAAATTCAATTGTAGGATCATGGTCTAAATATCAGAGCATTAGCTTTTCAGGGAAAAAACAAAGACTTGTAAAGCAATGTGAAAGGGGATATTTTGATAAAACATTGCTCATTGCATTTCTTAATATTTATGAGCTATGATTTTCATAGAATAAGTTTGGTATCACCGTTACCTCCGCAAACCCCTACAATAAATTAAACTGCGTTCTTTAGATTTCTTTAAGATGGAATACATGGGAGATAGTTTGAAATACTATATTCCATTTCTCTCTCTAGTACTTATGTCAGATTTAATAGTTCTTTCTGTCTATTATTTCCAGCAAGCCAATCCTGACTGCATCTGGCAGCAGTCAATGGCACTTTACTACCAGTTACCCATCTTTAAAGTTTGAGGCCTAGTCTAAACACGTTTTTTGTTCCAGAATAACTATTTCAAATAGAGGTGTAACTTTTTACTGCAATAGTTATATTGGTAGAACCCCTAGTGTGGACACAGTTATACTAGTACAAAGGTGCCTTATAACAGCTTATCTTTGGAAAGGGGATTAAGATATACTGGTATAGGGCACCATTATCTAGTATAACTGCATCCACAGTGGAAAAGGATGTGTACCACTTTAAAACAGTACAACTTTTGTGTGTAGACAGACCTTAGTTTCAATAATTAATAAAGGTAAATGTGGAGCATCAAGCAGCTTCTGGTTTAGTCTTACAGGTATAAATAAAAACTTAAAACTGGCTCTGCAACGCAACAGGACTGCTCACTTACAGCATCTGGGCATGGTGGGAAAAGGAGGGTAATTAGAAGAACATTTTGTGGCGGACAGGATGGGGAAGAATATTATATACTTTCAACTTCAAGATTCAAAAAAAAAAATCTAAATCACAAATGTGAAACACATTCCTATGTGTCAAATTTTCAAGAGTGTGCAACTAACCTGGAGTTCCCCTACAATGTTTTGCACTACACAAGTGTGCATGTGGAAATCATATTTGCATGTATAGTTAATTGATCTGTATGCAAATATTTGGTGTCTGCTCTTGAAAATGTTTTGCTAAGAGAATCTAAAGAAAACAATCTCATTTTTTTATTTACTGTGACTTCTCGAGTTTTGACAAATGAGATCTGAGACCAAATATATTCTAAATATAAACAACATAACACAAGAACTTTAAGAAATGGACTGTATATAAACCTGTGCTAAAAGAATGTTAATGTTGGAAAAGAAAGCACTAAGACATTAGCAACTATCAGACTCCCAACTTAAATACCATGCTCCAGACTGTACTGGCTTTGATTAGCCATTATTACAGGTTTTATGTTGGCCACCAGAGGGAGCCAATTTTATTTCACATATACAATAGAAACAAAAAAGTCAGATTTATTTTTAATAAAGATATGTTCCTGGTTCCCTGTATATTATAGCAAGGGCAGAGGATGTCAAAAGAATCAGAACACAATGGTCAATGATATCATATCATGCAGGAGGTCAATAGGTACATATTTCATTTTAAATTAATCTGAATATACAAATGAGTAGGAACGAATTCAGAAAATTATTTCATCTATACGTTTCTTATCCTTTTGTCATTAACTAATTGATCAGAAGGGAAAGAAACACTACTGACTTTAATTTTTAATTTATTTTAAAAATGTTTACTACACCTCTACCCCGATATAACGCTGTCCTCAGGAGCCAAAAAATCTTACCGCGTTATATCGAACTTGCTTTGATCCGCTGGAGTGCGCAGCCCCGCCCCCCCGGAGCACTGCTTTACCGCGTTATATCTGAATTTGTGTTATATTGGGTTGCGTTATATCGGGGTAGAGGTGTATTTTATAAACTATAAACATGAAATATCAAAGTAAATGTAAAGTGCTTACCTTGTAACATTTAAAGCCATTATACTTGTAGAGGGCCTGCTTTTTGATCCAGTAGGAGGATGAAAAATCCGTCCTTCTTTATTAGTTGTGATGGGCTTAGAATATTTAACCACATAGGGCTCAGCAGAATGGGAAGGATAAGGATCAAATGTTCCTGCTTTCATGCCCCCTGACTGGAAAAGAAAAGGAATGTTTCAAAGTCCTAATTTACAATATAATTGCTTTAACTATATTTTTCCATACAAAGGTAACCCAGAACACTGCATGGCAAATCACATCATATTATTTACATATCAGAAAACTACATACCACGTGTGTTTAAAGTCAACAGGAAACTGTTAAGAAAATTTAAATAATTACATTGGTGAATACTTGATTTGACAAATTCTTTTGTATGTATCCTGGATTATGAGGAAAGAATCTTAAAAATATAAAGGGTATTGTAAAAAAAATTAAAATGTAGGGTTTTATTGTGGCAAAAATGGAGCCGATAAAGATCACCTCTGGTTCCCATCAGTACAGCTCCACTGGTGGTACCAATAGTGGTACCATCTGGCAGGATTCAAGCATTATTATCAGCATGTTTCCTAACCATACCCAGAGCACTAGACAATATGTAAAAAGCAACAGAGGGTCAATATGGTGATAGATACACCATTGGCTAGTCTCTACCAGCCCTCCCACTAGAATAGCAGTGAGAAGGGTGAGGAAGTGGTGTTACCACGTGCATCCTAGTGCTCTCAGATTTGGGGGCCCTGCACAGTTCTGAGTCCTCCAGAGGAGTGCTAGGTGGAGGAGTTACCTTATTTTATTCCTACTGTTATGAACTGGGTGAAACCTTGTTACTGATGAGTTAAAACCTCATTCAGATTGATAGGTGTGAACTCAACCTTCAATTAACATAACTGTAAGCATAAACCACCACCCAAGACAAAAGGTGTGTTTGAACCTGCCCAGGAGCTTTTGGCTGAGTATTGTTTGAGTAGAAGGTATGTGTGAAGAGAGAGCACATAGAAATAAAGGACAGACAAGAACACAGAGAGAGGGAAACGCAAGAAAGCCAATCAGGAGCCTGTAAGCACAGCATGACTCTAGAACAAGCTAGAGAGTGAGCTTTGGGTCTGGGGTTGGCTTGGGGGCTGTAAGATAAGAAACTGTTCCTTTTGTTCTTGGTTCCTTCTGCGTTCAGAGACACAGGATTTTGTTCATTCCTTGTAAATAAACAAGAGTGTATCAAGGAAAATACCAGACTCCATCAATTTTCACTTCCAACTGGAATATCCCCAAGGCCTCAAACTCCGATTAGCTGCTGTGGTCTAAAATGGGCAACTCTACATATAAATTTGATTAACTAAATTTTAACAATTGCTCTGTGCTGATTTTAAAGATAAGTTGTTTTCAAGTTATACAGAATATGGTTATATGACAAAGTGACTCACCGGCCTGTGCGCCACCTTGTGGCTGGGTGCAGCGCTGTCAGGGTTTTCCTTTTTCTAACCTTGCTGATCCCGCCATTCAGATCTGCTAGGGCTGTCCTTAGTCTGGTGACTTAGCCCTCCAGTCAGGTCACTTTTTAGCCTCCCGCTTTCGGGCATAAGTCAGAGTTCAGTCCAATAACCGTACAACTCTAGGCCCACTAGGCCTTACAACCCTTGTCCAGGTGCTCCACCAGGATTTTCATAGGTTGTCTAGGGGAACCCAATCCCAAACTCTATCCTGGATTCCCGGCATAATTTCAGGGGCGGCATTCTTTTTTTTTTTTGCTTGAGGCGGCAAAAAACCTAGAGCCGGCCCTGTTCAGACCTCTCCTGTTTATTCTCTGGGCTTCTTCCTACTGTGGACTGCCTTTTTGCCTTCTTCTCCAACCCTCTTAAGGCCTCAAAGGAAAGGTAACAGAAGAAAGGCACAACACAAAAATAGTCCAAATGTGACCCCAGCTTCCTTGCTTTCAGGAGATACCTGACAAGCCATAGCCTGGCTCAGTATCCTCAAAGCTCTTGTTCAATGTTCATAGGAAGCCTCTGCCAGCTTCATCTTCTGCAGTGCTCCTTCCTAGGAGCAGGTGGGGAGAAGTCTGTCCAAGATGCATCTCCCTTTTAAGACTCTTCCTCCGAGACTGGAATGCCTCGCTGGTGCCTGAGGCCCAGTGTATACTTAAAATTTAGGAAAAATCCACACTCCTGAATGCCACAACGATGCTGGCCTAACCCCCCAGTGTAGATGTGACTAGGCTGACAGCAAGTTACCACAACAATGGGAGAATCCCTTTCGTTCCTGTAGTAACTTCCCCAGCTATGGCACTGTAACCCCTGTAGAGTACACAAGCCGTGAGCCCAAAGCTACTTTTAACCCCTTTTTTCCTGGTGCAGGATTTGTACACCCCATCACAGGTTATTTATAGTTTCTGATTTTGTATAGAATCAAACTAGATTTCATTGCTTTGTAAATTACAATCACAAGTGACAAAGAAAACTCAATCATACCTTTCGTATTTCTGACATAGGAGAACTTTTGCAATAAAAGACCACGAGGTTGCATTTTAAAAGTAAAATTCAAAATGATCTGGACAAACTGGAGAAATGGTCTGAAGTAAACAGGATGAAGTTCAATAAGGACAAATGCAAAATACTCCACTTAGGAAAGAACAATCAATTGCACACATACAAAATGGGAAATGACTGCCTAGAAAGAAGTACTATGGAAAGGGATCTGGGGATTGTAGTTGATCACAAGCTAAATATGAATCAACAGTGTAACACTGTTGCAAAAAAAGCAAGCATGATTCTGAGATTTATTAGCAGGAGTGTTGTAAGCAAGACACAAGAAGTAATTCTTCTACTCTCCTACGTGCTGATAAGGCCTCAACTGGAGTATTTTGTCCAGTTCTGGGCACCACATTTCAGGAAGGATGTGGACAAATTGGAAAAAGTTCAGAGAAGAGCAACAAAAATTATTAATGGTCTAGAAAACATGACCTATGAGGACAGATAGAAAAAATTGGGTTGTTTACTCTGGAGAAGAAAAGACTGAGGGAGGACATAACAGTTTTCAAGTACATAAAAGGTTGTTACAAAGAGGGAGAAAAATTGTTCTCATTAACCTCTGAAGATAGGACAAGAAGCAATGGGCTTAAATTGCAGCAGAAGAGGTTGAGGTTGGACATTAGGAAAACTTACTGTCAGGGTAGTTAAGCACTGGAACAAATTGCCTAGAGAGGTTGTGGAATCTCCATCATTGGAGGTTTTAAGTAGGGTTACCATATTTCAGCAAGCAAAAAAGAGGACGGGAGGAGCCCCGCCCTAGCCCCGCCCCTGCCCCT